TTAAAATAAACGACAACTTTTTATCATAAACATCAACTTACATTAAGTCAACTTCAGTAGACTGGAAAGACAAAATATGTTAATATTAAAAAATTTTGTCATTTATTTTAAATCCATAATTAATCTGGTGCTTTTGAGATCATACATACATACATATAACAATTTATAAAACCAACACATACAGTGTTTTGTGAAGAAGCAAAAAATGCCATGTTCCAACAGATATTTCAGAATGCAAGATTAGTAAGAGGTGTTGTGTTACTTGTAACTTTGTAATAAGTCTCAAAGTATTTCAAAGTTTTGAAAAATATAATTGTATTGGGCATTAATTTGATTAAATCCAAACTGAGGTTGTTGCTTTTGTTTAAATATTTGCTACCATTATAGTCAAAGATGTGTTGTCTCATTTAACACATAAACGAATGCAGCGTTGACAAATTAAAATTTAAAATAAAATGAACAAAAAAAACAAATGTGTTGCCTTTAGGTCCTTCTCAACTAAACCCCAATAACAATGACAACATTCTACAGCATAATTCATAAAATGTTCAAAATTACTGTTTCCTTTATGCCCAAATATAAAATAAAATGCACTCGCCAGATAATTTGTTCAAAATCTATATTATAAATCATTAAAAAAATTTACTTACCACTGTACGTTTTACAGACATAAATGACGATGTGTTTACGGAATCATGAAGCATGCGACGTTTGAAAATTGCATCGCTCGTGAGCACATTCTGACGATTTCTTTTCTCTTTCATTTCATAAATTTCATACACACATATAATTTTTCATAGCTCATACAACCAAACAACCACATAAACGATGACAAACACACAAGACTAAGGAAAAAAAGGTGGTCATCCCCCTTTAGAGCAATTTTTTTTAGTTTTATAGGTAGACACTTTAAAACAACATTTTTGGGAAGTGTTGAATGTGAGAAATCATATCTGACAATTTTTTTTTTGATCACTCATTAATTATGCTAATTATCAAAGATGGCGACTAATTAATTAGCATAAAATGAGCCTCTTTTCAAATTCGATTGCATCAAAACTACTAATCAGAAACTTATATATAATACATGTTTACAAAGCATATGAAGGCTAGTGCATGACACTTTTGATTTTGTTAAAAGCTATTTTAAAAGAAATAAGTGAGAAAACTAGGTATTCAGTAAAACTTCATTCTTCGTTAGATCATGAACCTTAATTTTCATTATTATTAAATATTATCAAATTTTAAAAGTGTCATGCATTAGATTCAGTTACTAACTATTACACAAAAATTTGAGCTTTCTACAGCAAATATTGAAAAAATAATTGGGTCTGAAATTTCCTCCTAAGAATAAGGAAAAGGAGAATTAGCATTTAAAAGTTTTATAATGATCTTTTGAGACTAGAAGGCACCAGGTTCATAAGTTTTCCTTCATTCTTTCACAACTATCTACAGTTCTTTCTCCTATGCCTGAGTGTTTTCTTCTTTTACCTTCTCTGTGCTCTTCTTGGAGGATAATTTGTCTGATTAATTATCACAATGCAATGCACCATTTGTAGTAAACAAGCCAGGTAGTATGTCTAAAGTCACTAAATAAGTTGAGGAATAATATATCTCCTTCATTGAATTTAAGCACAGCCAGCTTGAAAGTGCTACGGTTCCTGTTTCATATATGTGGACTTTGGGCATCTTTCCCATATTAGCCCATTCAGACACTCGTTCATTCTGTATTAAAACCATGTGTACACTTTTCCAACAAGCTTTCATCACTTAGACTTTCATAAATGGGTTCAATAGGCTCAACAATACTTTTGGTATACCTTTCTTATGATGGTATATTTGTAGGGTCTTTCTTAATCCACACCAACTGTCTTCAGTGTCAGGGCAAAGTTCATGTTGAGGGTTATCATTATGATGCCACATGATAAAGGGATGCCTTGATTGCTTTTGCCATTTTATCTATGTCATGCAGGTTCTCTCTCACTGCCAATCCATAAGTAATTTTGCAGAGGTCAATTTTAGCATCAGTCAATCTTCCTTTCCACTCACCTTTACCATCCCAAAGGATTATGTAATGGGAAACCATTTTTCTTCCTCATGTCAAGATGACAGTGTATATTACCACCACACTCGGGACAATAAAACATCATGAACACTTCAAAAAGCACAGACAAGTCAATGAAAATTGTACCATCATTGACGTTTTTTATTGGAGGTGGACATTGTCGAATTTTCTCCGTATTGCTGCCAAGTTTCATCACAGTATCGGCCATGTTTGGCCATCTTCTTGATTTTTGATGGCGGAGTTCTAACCGCTTTTCTCTTTTTATTCCGTTTATTTCCCATAATTTTTAAAAGTAAGAATTACAAAAAATATACGAAAAATCAAACAAAACAAATATTTCAGGCGTAACTAAGTAAAACAAAGACTAATCTGGCGATTTCAATAGAGCACTTTCGAACTGCACGAGGCGAGGAAAGCGGTATGATTAGATGTCTTCAAGTCGTGGGGAATGCTATAACCCGGGCGATGATCGGGGACGCGCCGATTAAATTCCTGGTCAGCGGCAAAAGCCTTGACATAATAATCGCTATAAGTACAATATGTTTCTTGTATAAAATTTCATAACACATTGTGAAGTATATTATTCTTTGTTATTGAGCTTGCTTGTAATATGTTCTAAAAGATATTGATGATGCTCAAAAGTATTCTAATCCTAATTATTCTGCTCAAAATATATAGGTCTCGGCTTAACTCCACCTAGCTAAGAAAAAATATAAAAACCTCGCATCAAAAGTGAAAAAAATAGTGGGCACATTACTGGCTCGTGGAATGAAATTCATATAAAGACGTATAAGCGTTCGAGTGTTTGCTCTGGCTCATTATTAAACATTTCAACAGACTAAAATATATTAAGGAACAAATTTCGTGTTTCATACTCAGTATATGGCGCAGACAATTCTTCAGCGTGAATCTGCAGAATGCTCAAATAAACAAGTAAACTTCCTTAGAGAAAAACTCGCAAGTGTGCAAATTCTGGAAAATTACTGCACAGGATACATTGATGGAACGGTGGAGCAAATGGAAGAACTTCTTGAACAGTTTCAGGTCTCGTAGTTTTTTTCAATTGTTGCACCATACTGCAAACAATTTGTAACATATTCCGAAAAACATCATGTTAACTCAAAATTTCAGTTATAATAGCAAGAAACAAAATCTAAAAGCAATATTTTGACATTATTTCATAGTCATTATAAAGCTAATATAGCTAAGTTTACAAGATCATGTTTTTTGAAGTATGTTTTATAATTTATTTCTTCAAATTGTCGGCTTGAAAAGGTTTTTGTAATTGTTGAACAGTTAACTTTCAAAGGCCGTAATACGTAAACCTTGATAAATTGATTTCACGCGTTAATATATTTGAAAAGTGAAAGAGGTTTTTGAATTTAGGTAATTGATTCTATCTCGTTTGTGAAAGCTGACAACCACTCAAAAACAAGGGGCAATAAACGTTTTTCATACAGGTAATCAACTCAACCGCATCAAGCATCTTACCCCAAATTAAAGCGAGAAAACACCAAGAAATTTTCAACCGACGCATAAATTGGGCAGCCAAGCCTGCTACATTCCCCCTTCTTTAATATTGCATGACCAACTAACATTTTATAGTCGCAAAGACATTCCATTATGGAGTTAGAAGAATCGAATCTAACAGTCATTTCTATCTATATTAGCAAAAAACTCATTAGGAAAAAACCGTTCAATGACTCGGCAATTATTTTGCTATCTCTTTTAAATACATTTCATTATCTAACACATCTGCATAGCTTAGCATAATAAGAATGTTTTACTTGAAGACAAACAAAATGCTGAAAAAACATATCATTTTTTTCTAGCACCGCCAGTGTTTGAAAGCAAGAAGGAAATATTCAATTGAGTTTTTGGAAATCCGTTTTGATTGTGAGCAACGAAACAAGACATTGTTTACATGGGAGCGCGAAAGTATGTATTCTTCGTTATGATATTTAAGATTTATTTGTGCACAATTTGTCTTGACACCACACTGTTTTATTTTGACAAACTTCTCAGGACAGCAGAGGCACTCGCACACACGACGTAAAAAGTGACCATGATTATGAAGAAAAGGGACGGATTCGATTACAGAACAGTAGAAAACTGGATTGCCCAGCACAAGTGCAAATAAGACAAGTCAGAGTATTTCTCGACTACTACATCGATCGAGAACAATTTACATCAGAAAACAGCTTGGTTATGGCAAAACGGAGTATTTAGAGATTAAGGAAAAAATGGATAACGATTCCTCCTCACAGCTTCGCGCCAGCAGTCGATTTTACCTAAAAATACCTCTTGGTAGTGCTCATTCAAGTCACGCCATTGGTGCCACGGCAACAGTTGGGCAGCGAATGGATTACCGACTGGTCACGAAAGTTTATAGTTTGGTAAAACGCAATGTAATTAAAATCTCAGAAGTCAAAAGGTGTCTTGATCAATACGTTGAAGAGACTTTATTTCCACAAGACGGACAAAAGGCTACACCGCGCAAGACAAATAAACGGTACTATCCAAATAAAAAGGATATTCGAAACCACGTAGCAAAAGCAATAGAGTCCCTTAAGGACTGCAAAGACGATCAAGAGTCCCTGCGCAGGAAGGTAGAAACCTGGAAACAGAATTCTCCAAGCAGCAAGTTTTCTACCGCACAAGAGATAACGCTTCCAGAAACGATATTCCTCAAAGGAGGATAAAAGTTTTGTTTGTGCATCAGGAGCATTGGCAACAACGAATGTTGTTTCGTTATGGCGGGCAATTGTGTCTCATGGACGCCACATACAAAACAACAAAGTACGCAATACCGCTTTTCTTTGTGTGCGTTCATTCAAACGTTGGCTACAAAGTTGTGGCTGAATTTATGTGCCAGACGGAGACCGAAGAAGCCATTGAAGAGGCTCTGGCTATTATAAAAGGATGGAATCCAGTATGGAACCCAAAATATTTTATGGTGGATTACTCATTAGCAGAAATAGGCGCGATAGAAAAAAGTTTTCCCGATGTACAGGTTTATGTTTGCGACTTTCACAGGTTGCAAGCGCTAAAACGGTGGGCTTCAGCAAGCAAGAATGGATTGTCATATGAACAGCAACAACACTTCCTTCTGCAAATGAAAAAGATTGCTAATGTCAGTACCAAACAGGAGTACGACAAGGCAGTAAAAGATTTTCGAGAGTCCAAAGTGTATAAAGAATGCAGCAAGATGAGAGAATATGTTGACCGTACGTGGTTTTCTTGCGCTGTCAGATGGGCACACGCTTTTCGAAAACAGCAAGTCACCAACATTGTTAATACTAACAATGGCGTTGAGGCTCAAAACAGAGTCTTTAAATACGAATACTTACCCCAAAGTATTGACAAATCTGTGTATGGTATTGCGGTGATGTTGGTTGAATCTTTCATTCCCGATGTTCTTCAGCACTATTTGGATGCAAACCTACGACTGAGCAGCGCCTACTGCAAGTACAACCCATCAATCCCAGAATACTTGCACAACAGACCTCCGCATTTTTTGAAATGTTGCCTTAAAAATCGATACGCTTCAGCCATTTTCAAACAGGACGACATAACTCCGGTTAATTTAAAGAAGGGCACCTTCAATGTCAAGAGCGAGAGCAATGTTGGAAAGAAACATTTCATAGACTTCCGAGAACCAAGTTGTACCTGCAACATATGGCACACTACCCATTTCCCTTGCAAACATTTTTTCGCAGTTTTTTCTTTCTATGACGAGTGGGATTTCGAAAGTCTTCCAGAAGACTACCGAAATAGCGTTTTCATCACTCTCGACAATGAACCTCTTGGATTGCCACAAGATACTACGCCAGAAGAACTAAAGGAAGCCAATACGTCATCATGGAGCACCATCAAAAGAGACGTTGTTATGCAAGAATCGTTGTCTTCTGATAACAAAAATATCCACGACATACCCACGAAGAAACAGTTAAGTTTGAAACTACTTCAAACAAAAGTTCCAAAAGGCTCAGAAAGCTCTTGCAAGAACAACTGGGCCAAATACACAGTATGACCTTCCTGATCGACAACGAGACCACTCTACAAGAAGCAGTGCAAAAAGCTGAAAGCTTGAAACAGTTTCTTGAACAAAACTTTCCACAGAAAATGGTTTGCCTCTTGATTGAGTCCTGTGAAAAAAATTAAAGGTTACCGAGACAAAATACCATCAAATCTTTCATAAGGCCCTACCTCCCAGACGACGCAAGACAAAAAAATCTACACCATTTACAATAGATCTTACTAATGTGGGCGATGAAATGGCACAAGTAAGACAAGTTGAATTGCTTTCTTGTCATTTCTTAAAAAGCTTCTCTCAAATGATTACTTTTATGTTTAAAAATTTCTTATCCGTCCGAAAAGAGTAAAAAGACAAAAGCACTTATCTTACTTTCCAATATCTTATTAAAGTATTGTTTAAAAAGTAATTTTCACCAGCCATTAGATATACGATACGAAGGGCATCACCAAAATTTTGGTTTTTGTCTTCTAAATCGCACTCATTTTTGCCATACTCGAAAACAACGTTTGAAAAAGTTGTTCGTAATTCTTTAAATTACATCTCGTCACGAGTATTTTCTGAAAGTAGTCTTTTTATTTTCATAGGTGTCCACTAAAGTGCAAAACCAGGAGAATGAAAAAAGCAATTCAAGCAGGTACAAACACATAGCAATAGAGAAATATTGAATGGAGAAAAATTTTCCAAAAATATTTGTGCAATGATGAGAGGGGGGTAGTAACATTTCAGTGTAGTATTAAATTTACTATGTAGTAATTATTTAATATGAGTGAGGACTATACCATTACACATAGTCCACTTTTCTTTTCCTAAATGGCAACTGTAGTGTTGACATCTCAGCTGAGCACAAGTCAAATCCACTGGATCGCTTACTGAATGCCTCTCTAAATGGAATTAAGTTAGGTGATCAAATGCTAGAATTTGGACCAAACAAAGTGACTCTTCAGGATCTATGGACCCTCATTCCACCAAATGAGATGACTAAATATGCTGCCACACTAATTGAAAATAAAACTGTGGCACCTGGATGGCTTAGTGATACAGTAAGTCAAGTGATTAAACACTCTACAGCTTACATATGATTATCATGCATCAGAGACAAATGATGAAATGGTAATTGAGCCTGATTGTTATAGGTTATCAGCGCTTTCTTATGGAAACTTTCATGTGAATATCCTGGTGTCCTACCAGCAGAATCATATGTATGTCAGTTGGTGCAGGGATCTAGTACCGTCGACTGTGGGCAGATCAAAATTCATGGCAATTGACACAATAATATTTCCTCTCAATATGTCTGGGAGCCATTGGACACTTTTGGTAAATACAATATGGATGCAACATAGCTAAGACTAGGCAACAAATTTTTATTATTTTCAATATTGTCACTTTTAAAGGTAATCGACAAACAAAAAGAGATGGTATACTACCTTGATCCTATGGAAGGTCATGTAGAAGAATTTATCAGTGAGGCAACAAGACTTGAACTTTCACAGTTTATCAAAAGCATTTGGTAAGTATACATACATTACTTCCTTGACAAATACCAGTATTTGAAATTTCAATTCAATGAATCACTTCAATGTCTTGAATACACACAGCAACATTGATATAGTGCAGTTGATAATATAATCCCTTTGTTTATAAAGTGCCCTTGTTGATCTAAAAGTGGGTGGAACATCAACTTGGTCTATTATTCAGCCTACACTATGTGCAAGAGGATGGGTTTAACTGTGGAATAATTATTTGCCTGGTAGTTGTTTTGACATTGTGTTCTAAGAAATAACAATTTAAAAAAAATTTCTTTTATTTTTATCATTTCAGTTTGCTGAATATCTGAGTCAAAATCTTGACATAAATGCAAAGTTTGACATGAGAAAAGTGAGGCAGCATGTGACTTCAGATTATGGGTTCTTGCTATGATGACATTTATGAGTAATAACAAAAAAATTACATTTTTTTAAATATTTTAATAAAAGGGGCAAATTATAGATTTTATTTAATTGACAAAAACATTAAACTAGACAAAAACATAAAACTAGACAAAAACATTAAAGTCGTGATTTATTTGTTGGAATTATCCATAAAATCAATCTGACATTTGTAATGTTATAAATTGTGTGTATTTTACTATACCATAAGTAAAATGTGTAAAATTTATTTTATTAGGAGAAATAGTTTGGTATGCAAGATTTGCAAGATAGATGATGGTGAAGACTGGTTGGGATGTGATTCATGTGGGCAGTACTTTCATGCAAGTTGTCTGAATGTTGACTTTGGACAAACTCTGAAAGAGTACTTTGCTTGCCCATAATCAGACATGACAATTATATAATAATACAAAACATAAATTGTAAGATTTAAAAGTGCCGAATAAAAAAGACTTACCGATTAGAATACTTTTGAGCATCATCAATATCTTTTAGAACATATTACAAGCAAGCTCAATAACAAAGAATAATATACTTCACAATGCGCGTTTGCAGTAACATTCGTTATAAAAAAGACCGCATATTTTGTAAAAGCCAAATGAACATATAATGCAATGTGGGCGCTGTGCTGTATACTTTGTGTTGATTTGTGTTATGAAATTTTATACAAGAAACATATTGTACTTATAGCGATTATTATGTCAAGGCTTTTGCCGCTGACCAGGAATTTAATCGGCGCGTCCCCGATCATCGCCCGGGTTATAGCCATTGAGTTCTATAAGACCTGGAGGGGAAACGTCATGAAAATTACTATAAATTATAATCGCGCGGCCGCGTGGTCAAAAACATGGCGGTAATGGCGGATTTTGGTTGTCAAAACTTCCACTTTAAAAATTTTTTTCAATATTCACTCCCTCCTGATTTATATGTTTTTACGTAAACATGGCGTTGAAGTATCACGGCACATGTAGATTGATATTACGAATAAAATTCAAGGTAAGAAACTTTGAATATTTTTGATAGAAATCAGTAAAGTTGTTTTAAATTTGAGATGTAATCTTGTCAGTTATATAGCTAGTGATTAAAATATACGAAAATCTAAGATATCAATATTTAACGATTTTTAAAAACACAATACTCACCTTAACTACAAATGTTGGTAAATATTTTTCTTTAACTGCCTTTCATTGATTAAATTGATTGGTCATAATTTAAAATTTGGGCAATTACCTATTATCAAACAGCTCATGACATGTTTTATAAAATAAAACCATTTAAAGATGGATTTCAAAATGGCAAATACCATGGTGAATGGTGATAATAACAATGTAATAGTTCTTAAAACTGTTTTAACCAGAACACTGTCCAACAATTCAGGAATCGTTATTTACAGCTGAAAAGAGGCACTATGCATTTCATTGACTACTCGTAAATAAAACCATTGTTCTCTGATATAACTTACTTTGAGTGTGAGCACTGTAGTGAAGTATAATGCAAACAAAACAGGTGCCTTTAACGGATATTAGCCTCAAGTGAACCAATAAACTTACTCTAAACTTAAATTTTAGATTTATTAAGTGAATAAGATTTACATCACGATATCTGGCTTGTCTGTATACAACTATTTAGTGAAATTTGAATTTCTGCAAAAGGTAAAACAAATCCATATAATAATATGTATGTATTAAATGTTGTGTCAATGTTGGTCATATCTTATTATAACAGGGTGCAGCTATTTACAGCAGTTGTACCAAGAATACAATCAAAAGAAATTGAAAAAAATGAACTTGCCAAGGTAGAAATGAATCAATATATATTAAAAAAGAAATATGTAAAAATATAAATAAAATAAATTATAATATCAATAAAATGGAAATATAGTAATAACACAATTAACACATTTTAAGCGTTGTTTTGCAATAAACTACATTAATTTGCCTTTAAATTGGCAATTTTGAAAATGTTTGTCACCCTTCTTCTAGATGAAATTTTCTGGCTAAAATAGGGGCATGTTTGTTTGACATGCCCTTTTTTTACAATATCGACACATCATTCCTAAAAAATATTAATGTTTCAGATTGTTATATTAACAACAAGTCTATACTACAAAATGTGAACCTCGTGCTCTGCACTCGGTTATGTGGTGACCAAAAGACCACACTTCTGACATCTGCCTATGGAAATTGAAAAAATTGTAATTCTTACAACATAGTTTCTAACAAATAATGATATTATGTACCATACCATGAAATTTGTTTCTTCTATCTGTAATGTAACAAAGGTAATACAATGTTAAATATTATTAATCAAGTAGAGGTCATAAAAAATTTTTATATTTCAAAACATTTTAAACATATTCAGTAGAAAATATTAATGTCATACTTTGGGATGGACCACCACCAGTCCCCCCGCTTGTAGTGCCTTCCTCTTCATGTGCTGCAATTGGAAAATATTGTCTATTAAAATATAAGTTATTACAACAAAGTCTTTAATGAATGCAATATATAAGTAAATGGTTTGAACCGGAAGTATCATTACATGTTTGTAAATGTAGATCGTCCAGGTTGGTATAGTCCTGAGAAGGACTGTTTTTGTTGTTGTTGACTGATGTTTATGACAACCTAAGTGGTAGTCATCTTCAGAGTCAAATGTCTGAAGATGGAAGGGATTAAAATATTCAGTATATATTCAGTAAATATTCAGTATATCAATTAGGGTTAAAATATTCAGTAGAAAAGATTAAAGTCATACTTTGGGATGGACCACCACCAGTCCCCACCACACTTGTAGTGCCTTCCTCTTCATGTGCTGCAATTGAAAAGTATTGTCTATTAAAATATAAGTTATTACAACAAAGTCTTTAATGAATTGCAATATATTACATCATACCATTAAATTTGTTTCTTCTATCTGTAAATAATAAAATATTACTATTAGAAGTAGGATTAAAAAATATTCTGTGAAAACGATTAAAGTCATACTTTTGGATGGACCACCACCAGTCCCACCACACTTGTAGTGCTCTCTTCTTCATATGCTGCAATTGGAAAATATTATCTGTACAGACTTCAAATAATATTTGAATGTTTCACTGTAAAAACTAACATTTCAAAATATAATAAGTATTTTACAGTTTACAGTACAGAATAGGGTTGTCATTCTTATTTCTTTGTTGTTTATTTATATTTCATTTCCAATTTCAATGTGATTGTACTGGCACCTGGAAGTTTTTTAGTGGTATGAGAATTGGTAGAGATATGTAGGATGACCACATGACTTTTTCTTTGTGGTCTCTTGTTTTGTCTGTATCATCCTTCTGCAAGTATATTAAGTGTAAGAACAACAAATAGTTAAACTGAAAAATATAACTCACAAAACAATACCCATACACGTTCGTTTTCTTTCCTTCTGCCACTATACAAAGTTAAGTAATTTCTTTGTATGAAGTTTATGTTTAACATTAGTATTTGAACATATGATTTATTAACAAAACAGTAGCATGAATGCTTACTTCCTCTTTTATTTAACTGTGTTTGCGAGACTAAAAACAAGCAACACCGATGTTGAACATATAAAATAAGTTGCCTGAAAACCTTTTTGTGTTAAATATAATACAGCACCATTATATTTCGATAAATGTGAATTACAGAAAAGCATTGTAAAAGCGAGAATGACAAAGGATAAAAAAGAATAGGTAAAAATCGACTTACCAAAACAAAGACTTGTCAAATTCAAAAACGACTCTTTAAATTTCCCGCCTCAAGACCAAGAGTAATTTAAAGTGCGTGGGTCTCCACGGTGTATATCTCGAGATCTGAAACACATGCCAGCATAAAAATAAAACTCAAATTAATTTTGGCAAGTAACCACGAATATTAGAAACATG